ATGGGGCCTCCTGCTTACGCTGCGCCGCCACCGCCGATTTCTGTTCTCATTCTGAAGCAAAGTTCTTAACCCGAGGTACTATTTCTGGGTTAGCGGAGTCTGTAACCTGAAGCGTCTGTAACCTGAAGCGCCTGTAACCCGAGGTGCCACTGTACAGCATCCTGTGCTCATGGTGCCTATTGGAAATCAGGAAGCAGAACATGAGAACAAGCACTCTCCCCTCCTGTGATTTCCAGCAATGGACATTCAGAAGCATTGCAGCCTCCCATCTGTGGTGGCAGAGCATAACCACCATGGCCAGCAGCCATTGACAGCTCACTTCCTCTCCCACAGTTAAGACATGGGAAGCATCAGTTGCAGCCTGATCATCATCACGCTTGCTTAGAAGTGGATTCTGCCGAGTTCAGTGGCAGGTGATTCCTGCATTGCAGGGGGTTGGACTAGGTGATCCTCGGGGTCCCTTCCAACTCTACGATTCTATGGTTCTAGGTGCTCTCTAATGTGTGCATAGGATGAGCAGTTTTTACTGTTGCGTTTGGGTGCAGAACAGAATGAAGATGACTTAGGGTGGCCAGCTATACTTCACCAGAAAAGAGGGTGCTTGGGCTGTGTACACACCATACAATGAATGCACATCTTCCTCACCCCCCCAAAAAAAGAATCCTGGGAACTGTAGTTTGCACTTCACATAGTTATAGCTCCCAGCATCCTCCTTAACAAACTATAATTCCCAGTATTCATGGGCAGGTGGGTGAATGGGACTGAATTTTTGCTATGAGACTGAATGCTGGAAGTATGTCTTTGAAAGGTTAATGTGCTGATCCACCTGTATTTTTTGTGGTTCGTTGGTACACTCATACCAGGCAAACAGAGAGTCTCCTGTCTGCGGTGTAAGCATTTATTTATTATTTCTCACTGAGTGCATTTTGAATGCCCTCCCTTAATTGCCCTTTTATCAGTTTTAGTTGTCACCATTTGTGTATGTTAATTGCTGCTTTCCTTTATTTCCTTTTAATTGTTTTATTGGGGAGGGAATTGGTATGAATTCAAAAGGTTAAGAATGAGAGATCAACCATGAAATTCTCCATCTCCTCAATGAGGGTAGAGAAACTGGGGTAAGTAATAGGATATTCAAACCTGCTTGCGCTCATCGGGAATAAATAAAATAGGCCGAACCTGCAAATAGGGAGGAATAATGTACAAGGTATGGGAGCCTCAATAGTGAATGCTTGCCTATCCATAGTAGGCCGATTTTAGGGCTGGAGTCAGATGCAGGTCAGAACGATGAGGCAAAGTCAGCTGTCTGTGAAGTTAACTCTTTATTCAAGAAAACAGCATGCAACTCAGCAATACTTCCCAGTAGGTCTTGCTCCTATGGAGCAGTTGCCAGGACTGAAGGTCCTTCCACACCTCTCTAAGGCTCCTACTCTCCTGGATGTCTCCCAAGCAGTCTCAAACTACATCTGCGCACCTCTGGTCTCTGTTCTGCCCTCCTCATTATCCTATGCATTTGTTGAGACCAAGGGGGGGGGGGACTTCTTGCCATAGAAGAGGGAGAGTCCTTGGATTCTACAGCAGCCTCTTAACCCACCTCCTCTGCTTCAGCCTCGGAATCTGAACTGCTCCTTGTCACCAGCTCTCCCAGCTCACTAAACCCTGTTGCCCCTTCAGCATCCAGCCTCTCCTCCCAATCTTCTCCCTCTGACCTCTCCTCAGTGTCCCACCACTGATCCCTTGGCTCTGAGCCTTTCTCCTCTGGGGTTTCCCTGGGGGGTTCCTTGGCTGGTGTCTCCCACCACTCCTCTTTGTCCAGCTAGTCCCTGACAGCTGACTGCTGCTGCAATTACATTTTATTATTAAGAAAGATCTGAAAAAGCACCGGTGGGCAGCATTAAAAAAAAAAAAAGAACGGAAATGCACTGGGCCGATGACAAGATCCCCTAGATGGTCTATAAGAATGGGCTAGCAAGGGTGGTAATTCAGGAGAAAAGGGCTAAGATGAAAACCACTTATGCCTGAAGGTAGGTAAAGGTAAAGGGACCCCTGACCATTAGGTCCAGTCGTGACCGACTCTGGGGTTGCAGCACACATCTCGCTTTATTGGCCGAGGGAACCGGTATACAGCTACCGGGTCATGTGGCCAGCATGACTAAGCCGCTTCTGGCGATGCAGAGCAGCGCACGGAAACGCCATTTACCTTCCCGCCAGAGCGGTACCTATTTATCTACTTGCACTTTGACGTGCTTTCGAACTACTAGGATGGCAGGAGCAGGGACCGAGCAACGGGAGCTCACCCCATCACGGGGATTCAAACCGCGACCTTCTGATCAGCAAGTCCTAGGCTCTGTGGTTTAACCCACAGCGCCACCCACGTCCCTTATGCCTGAAGGTAGTGCGATACAATAGGGAATATCCTTGCTGAGACTATATCCGAACAACAGCCTCCACACAGCTGACTGAATGACTTACTTCTAAACCACAAGGGCAGGAAGCATTCTTGGGGGATGAAAAGAGAGGTACACAGTCTTGCAGCACTGTGTGCCGTAGTCCCAGGGTAGGCGCTTCTCTGCACTTTGTCACATCTGCTGGCCTTGCTAATTCCCTGCTGCGCTCTTGAGCAACTGGAAATCAGTGCTAAGATCATCACAGCCCCTCTGGGACTGGTAGTGAGGAAGCCACAAACATCCTCCATCTGGAAGCACCCTGGCAGATTAAAGAGTTTATAGCAAACAACAAGCCAAACGCAGGTCTACAGTGTGCTGTTGCGACATCCACAACTGGTTTGCATGAACCTGAAGAACGATCTGCAAGTCGAGGGCAACATTCAACATTGCTACTGAGTTTACAGCTTCTCATACCGCCTTGGAAGCACTGGCTTCAGAAGGATGTTGACAAACTATAAAGCAGCCTCCACCGCTGTGGGCAGGAGGCATTGAGACAGAGTTGCTGCTATTGTTGCTTATTAAATTTGTATGCCACCCTTCACCCGAAGATCTCAGGGTGCATCACAGCATAAAAATACAAGATCAAAACACAAAATACATAATAAAACAAGAACAAGAACCAAAACAAGCAATCAAAAGTGCAATCAAAAGGTACACTTTATGGCAACTCCCATAGCTCTTCCCCTATAGCTATGATCCTTCTAAGGTAAAGGTAAAGGTAAAGGGACCCCTGACCATTAGGTCCAGTCATGGCCGACTCTGGGGTTGCGGCACTCATCTCGCTTTACTGGCCGAGGGAGCCGGCGTTTGTCCGCAGGCAGCTTCTGGGTCATGTGGTCAGCATGACTAAGCCACTTCTGGCGAACCAGAGCAGCGCACAGAAATGCTGTTTACCTTCCTGCCGGAGGAGTACCTATTTATCTACTTGCACTTTGATGTGCTTTGGAACTTCTAGGTTGGCAGGAGCTGGGACAGCAACGGGAGCTCACTCTGTTGCAGGAATTTGAACCGCCGACCTTCTGATCAGCAAGCCCTAGGCTCTCTAGTTTAACCCACAGCACCACCCGCGTCCCAGCATCTGCTTTAGGCCCTGTCTGAACTATACATTTAAAGCAGAATCATACATGACTTTCCCTAAAGTTTCCTGAGAGTTGTTAGGAGACCCCTGGGTGCTGAAGCAATCAAGGCCTCCTTTCTTGGGAACTCTGGGAATTGTCACACTGAGGAGAATAAGGATCACCTAACAACTCTCAGTGCTCTTAATGAACTGCCATTCCCAGCACTCTTTGGGGGAAGCTGTGGCTGTCTGAAGGTGTAGGATGTGCAGGGTGCAATGGGAACAAGTATGCTAGCTCCAACCTTCACTGTGAGATGGAGGGCAACTGTCTGAAGCAGGGAAGACTGTATTTGCTTAAGCAGGACTGCTGGGATGGGACTGTTGTATGCTAACAGCTTCTGCCTCCCTTGTTGCATTATTCACACACAGCCCACCACCACGTAAGATCACACTTTTGAAGGAGTTGGGGAAGTGGTTCCTATGCCATGAGGTCTGCAGTGGCAGAGGAGGACAAATCCAACCCTGACTTCTGACTTCAGAGCAATCTGATCTCTGAGGAAAGCTGAAAGCAGACATGTCAGAACTTCCAATTATGGAAAATATGGCTAATCCAACTAATGAAACACCAAGCCTTCAGCATTAGCAAAGACATCACCACATTTTCCATTTAGAATTGTTTTATTTAATACTCACAACTGCCCTTTCTAATAAAGAAGATTAAAATTCAGATGAATGTTAAACATTTATTTCGCTTACAGAGTTGTATAATGTTATTAAGTATTGAGATCCCAGAGAGACACTGACGGTCAGAGTAGATAATACTTAATAGACAATTCTGGGACAAATAGTTTAACCTGGAATAACCTGGTAGGCTCCTATGTTGGAATGTTTTGTTTCCTTTCTTTATGCACTGGCATGGGACTTATCTCTTGATATTGATTTGGCCTTGACAATTCAACACCATATGGGGCACTTCTTAGTGGGCAAGAATGGTCAACTCGAAGTTTTTGCATGAAAGCAAGTTTGGGGGATCTTTTGCAGTGAATCCCGGAGCACGTCAGCCATGGTCCAATTCCAGTGGTGCTGTTAGATAATTTTAGACTCTGAACCTAATGGTCTTAAGTGGGCTCCATAAGTGTTATTTCACTTATTGCAAAACTCTCCTTCTCATCTGCTGAGCGAGGACCTAGACTTTTGTCTCCAAACCCTGACCTTACAGTACCACCATCTATTTATTTCCCCGCCCCCCTCTCTTTCATGCATGCCAATTCATGCACACATGGGGGGGGGGGGAGAGAAATGATGTGCTAAGAGACAATGCAAAAAAGGAAGCAAACAGACACATGCCAAGCCAATCTCTCAGTAACTTTCATGTCAGGGAGCACAGCAGCAGGTGGAGCCAGAGCCAATGGCAGGCAGAATAGAATCACAGAATTGTAGAATTGGAAGGGACCATGAGAATCATCTAGTCCAACCCTCTGCAATGCAGGAACTTTTTGCACTATGTGGGGCTCAAACCCATGGCCCTGAGATTAAGAGTCTCATGCTCTACCCAACTCAACTATTCCAGCTTGAGGGCCAGCTGGTATTGTCCCTGTCCTCTTCCCTGCTTAGTTGTACAACACAGAGACTGAGGAGGAGGAAGCTGATAGGCAGTGCCACTTCCTGGAGTAGCTGTAAGAAGGCAGGTGGGTGAGGTTGGTGGGGCCGTGCCCCATTCCCCCTAAGGTACCACCAGCCTCCACCAGGGTGGCAGGAGTGCAGCTTATGTGCGTGGTGCTTTCCCCTTTGCCTCTGTCTGGCACTGTCTGTGCATCCTGATCAGACTTGTACAGGGATCTGTGTTACTGGAAGGAGGTTACACACAGGAGCTTGGTTGCATAGTGTGATGAAATGAGAATGTTGCTTCTGGTGTATGATCTGTCATGGCTGTTCTTCCCCATTCATTGCTTCATGCTGCAGTGATCATAGAGTTGGAAGGGATCCCAGGGGTCATCTAGTCCAACCCCTCAATGCAGGAATCACAGCTAAAGAAACCTGTTTAAAAACCTCCAATGAAGGGGAGTCTGCTGCCTTCCAAGGCAGTCCATTCCAAGTGGAGCAGCACTTACCACCAAGTGCCAGGCACGTGTGAACTCATCCTTGCGTGTTTGTATATATTGATATTTTTTACACTCTCCGGCCGGTGGCTGCGTGCTGCGTTTCTTTATTACGCATATTGTTATTTGGGGCAGAATCTCCCTCTCTTGTACTGCGCCAAGAACCCAGACGCTTTTAGGCAATCCCAGCGTTTCAGTTAAAAAAAAAAGGGAGGGAAAAAAGGAAGAAAAAAATAGTGTCGCATCCACGGCGTACAAGACATTCTACAGCAAGATGAGTCATAGCCTTTACCAACAGCTTGGAGAGCGAATGCAGGCTCTGAATGGAATTGGCCAAAGGCTGCGTTCGGCTGAAATGGTGCTTTTCCATTTCATTTTCATTTTGTTTTTCCATTCCGTGTTTTCTTTCAATGTACTTTGCAGAGGTGTGTGTGTGTATTTAACCAACCAACCAACCTGCAGCTCAAACGAGAAAGGAAACTGAATCGCATACGTTTCTTTGATGGAGGCATTTATTATTTCACTACAGTATTCCTGCATGCTCATCCAACCTGCACCCCGCTTGACCCGTCATGTATTGGAAATGCAGCTGGGTGGGGAGCGGGGGAGAGAGAGAGAGAGAAGGAAACTTGGAGCAGCGTGACTCGCCTGGCAATCGCCTCGTCGCCACACCCCCTTCTACCTTCCCGGCGCCCCGGTCTCAGCAGCCGGTGGGGGCGGGAAGGAGGAGAGCGCCCGGTCTACCTCCTACCAATCGGCAGCAGCAGCTGCTTTGTTCCTAACAAAGGCACCTTCGCCCCCAAGATCCTTTTAGTCCCCAATAGTTTGCTGCCTGGTTCTCGCTCTCCGATGACCACAGGGCCGCGGGCTCCTTGGAGAGGCGCGCAGCTGCTGCGCGCAGCAGCCCGGCGCGCCGGCGTAGAGGAAATAGGCAGCGCCAAAAGAGCGCGCTCGCGGCGCCTCTTATCGCGGACACTCCTCGGCAAGGAGCCTTTTATGACCGGGCGAGCCGTTTATGGGATTGTTGTCCTTGTGTGTGACGCTCGTCGTACAGGATTTCCTCCCCAAATAGCTGAGTGGGGAGCCTGATCCGTCACGACGGCTGCTTGGGCGATGCAAAGCCCGGGTGGACCTGGTGAGCGTCCCCGCCCCGCTCCCGCCCCTTAGCAAGGGGGGGGGGAAGAAACAAAAGAGGGAGGTTGAACGTCATGTCATTCCAAAAGAAAGAAAAAAAAGCAAATCTTGCAAAATAGGCTGGTGGAATATTTGGCGTGTTGCTTGCTTTTAAGGAGCAGGGCTCATGGAAGGTAGGCAAGCCTGGTTTTGTGTATTATTTTTAATTTTTAAAAAAGGCACAGCTCTATTTTCTGCCACCCACCTTTTGCTATAACGGAGCGGCGCCCCTCTCGGAGCCGTCGGTGAAAAGCGCCAGAGGAGCCGCGGTGGCAGGATGGAGAACCCACCTAGAGGGGCCCCTTGACGCGAGCACATCCTCTGTCGGGCAGCCGCGCTCGCTGCAGCCTGGAGCTAATTCTGCTGCACAATTCTCGTGGCACAGACTCGCCTGCAAGTGTCCTGAGCCCTTCCGTAAGAAAAGGAGACAAAGGGGGTCGAAGGGGACGCAGGAGGAGGAGACCAGCAACATCCTGCTGCCTGCACCGTTTGGTCCGGAAGGTCTAAGCCTGGCTTTGCCTGAACTTCACGCTCTACCTATCGAAGGATGTGGCCAGACATTCAGGAGTAAGAATAACCGGTGTTGAGAAGCCGATTGCTGGCGGGGGGGAAACTGGAAAAAAAGAAGAGGAGAAACTCCAGGGAAGGGATTCTTTGATTACTTAGGACTTGAAACTCTCCGCCTAATTCTGCCAAGACGTGAAGGTGCACACAAAGTAGAATATTTAGTTAGAAAACAAGGCTCTGCAGCAAAGGAATCGATCACTTCCATCACGACCGTCGGTGTGTTTACTCAGAAGTAAGCCTCAGTGGTTTTAATGGGACTTATTACCTCCTAAGTGTGTGTGGTATTGCAGCATTAGTCATTTTTTCTTCCAGGTATAAGACAGCTTTATTATGGGGTTAAATGGCAACTTGGAGTCGGATCATGACAACAACTTCAGTGCATAATGGTATTTCATTGTAGTCTTATCTTATGGAGCAGGAAAATAGCATAACACACTTCCTTAAGGCTCCCTCCTATCAGGCAGAGAGTGGAGAGCCTACATTTCCAGATGAAAAGTTTGCTCTGTATTGGATCAGCTTCCATTCTTTGTCTGGTCTTTCTTGCAAAGAGAGGAAACACAATTAAAGCAACCACTGATGAATATGTGTTTGAGAAGGAAGAAAAAGCAATACTTGTTTCTAAAGGACAGCATGGCAAAACCATGTGAAGTTTTGCATTTCCTCTTAAAAACTGATCTAGCACAGATGGCAAGAAACTCTCTTTTGACTAACCTTTTCCTACTGTCTAAAATGCTGCTGCACAATAAGATGCTTTAATTTATACCTGGGATTTATCAAGGGGAACCGTTGCCTTCATTTAGGATAAGTTGTTAAACATATATGATTCCTTTTGTGATTTTTAAAAAACGAAATACTAGTGAATTGCATTAATGGATGGACGCATAGCTAGAAAACCTTCTGGAAATTCTGCCCTTGAATCCTGGAGATTCTCACTTATGTGGAATACAATACTTTTTTGCAATAGCCCATGACACTAACTGATGCTGCAGTTGTTGCGGAATGTATCTATGAATTCCGTAACAGATAAAGCTTTTGGACAAGGAAAAGACTGAGGCCGATAGAACCATGAACATGATGCATGTAAACAATTTTCCATTCAGGAGGCATTCGTGGATATGGTGAGTAAACTGCTGCACACTTCAGTGTGGAGTTATCCCAATACTTGTTTGCTGTACGCTGTGACAATCGATTCCTTAGCACCAAGGGATGGCGATGCAAGTGAGGGACTGTAATCGAGAGGTGCATTAAAAATAAATAAATCCCACACTGGGGACGTAATGCAAGTTTTACAACGCAAGAGAAACCCAGCAGGGAAAATGTGTACATTTTATGATGTCATTCTTGTTTTTCCTTTAATCCAGCACCATGAAAACAAATTCCCTCCCCTTTCTGTCGCCTTGTTGAATTTAACAGAATTTAACTTTAACAGAAAATAGAACTTCTGTTTTTGTTTTAACTCTTTCAAGTCAATTCTTAGGTTCAGTGTTTTTCCAGACAAATCTTTTCCTGCTTCAGTGAAGGGATATTTGGTGAAAAGGGCTGTTTTTCCTCCCTTTTCCTTTCTGCCTTTCCTCCTCCTCTCCTCCCTCTGCCCCACCCCCTTTTTGCTAGGGTATGCACCAGAATACGAATGATGCTTTCTCTAAGAAATGCATGCCAAGGGACTATTTTCCCCTCCCTTCTTTTGTGTGCAACGTCAAAGAAACATCAGGGATTAGTTGCATATTTTTATTATTTTTTGCTCCCTTATACAATCCAGGCAGTGTGACTTAATATAACCCTTTCTATTTTGTTATATAATAAGATGGGTTTGCTTACACGGTTGTTAAACAGTATGCTCTAGAAAGTGGACAAATCTGCTTATTCTAGAGCATACTGTTTAACAGTGCCTGATAATGCATAGGTATGGGAAGATTAATAAAAGAATGACTCGGATTTTATTTATTTTTTAGTGGTTGGAGGAGGCTTGCTTTCAAAAAGGTCCTAGTACCTATGCATTGTCAGGCATGGCAAGATTCCATGTTATTTATTTAAAAGTGGTGCAGAGAGGGAGCCTCTTGGATTGCTGTAACACATCCATTATGAAGATTATAATGGAGTAACAGGAAGAGGGGGTTTTCCAAGCGACCCAATTAATGTGGTGCTTGGTTAAAAGCTTTATTAATTGATGCTTCTTGTCTTGAATACTGCTCTCCTCAGCACCGAAGCAATACATTTAAAGGCATTGGGTGGCAGCATCAGCATCCCTGAAACATCATACGTAACTGTAGAAATCCAAAATTTCCTTTTCTTCTCCAGTGAACATTTCCACCCGCATCCTTATGTCAGTTTTCCTTACATATACCATTTTTTTAAATCTGTCACATATAAAAGAGAGCATATGTGATCAGTAAATGAGTCATTAAAATATCAATATTTTAAAAGTTATTCCCGTCCCCCTGCATTTGAGCTTCATTTTTCTTCTGCCAGCCTTCTAACTTTCCATCTGTGATAATAAAAGTTCTTTGTGTGTGAAACTGAAGCAGGTGGGAAATTTGATGCAGGGCCTCGCCACCATCAGCTCAGTTCGGGATCATCCTGGGTCAGTGTTGCAATTGTTGCTGTCTTACCACATATTTATTTACACGAAATGGAAAAGACCACTCACACCTGACACTGATCCAGTCAAAGGCTGGACAAAGCCCCTGAAACTTTCTGACGGATGTGCTTTGGCCTGGTCCTACTACAAATAA